AACTCAGGTCCTTGCCCTTGCGCAGCAGGCGGCAAAACCACTGAGCTAAATCCCCAGCCCTATATATTTTATTTTTGAGACAAGGTCTCACTGTGTAGTCCGGGCTGGCCATGAACTCATTGTGTAGCTCAAGCTGGCCTCCTACTCACAGAGATCCTCCCGTCTCAGCCTCCCAGAGTGCTGGGATTGAAGGCCTGTGCCACCATGCCCAGCACTTTAGTGGTTTTGCTCTATGTTCATGCTGCCTGCTTGCCCTGGCCTGCCGTTGGAGGCATTCCCTTCTGCCCCTGGGCTGGGCAGGAGCAGGGGAAGGGCTGACTCAGTTTCCCCCAGGTGGGAGGAGAAGATCCCTCTGGCCAAGACTGCGCTGGAGAAGACCTGGCTGCTGCATGAGATCGGGCGCTGCTACCTGGAGCTGGACCAGGCCCTGCAGGCCCAGTACTATGGGGAGAGGTCGCTGCAGTATGCAGAGGAGGAGGGCGACATCGAGTGGCAGCTGAATGCCAGCGTCCTGGTGGCGCAGGCCCAAGGTAGCTCAGAGCCCGGCCCCCAGCTGTCCCCGCCCCAGGTTCAAGCTCCGGTAGGGTAGAGCAGAGCACCTCTGCAGGCCCAGCTACTGAGGACGCTGAGGCAGGAGGATCTCAAGTGTAGGAGTCCCAGGCCAGCCTGGGCGACACGGCCAGACTGCGTCTCAGAACAAAAGTTACAAACAGAACATAAATACAAAACAAATAAATGTTCATCAGTGTTACTCTTCCTGTAAGGTGGGGACAGGGAAACAGCACAGAAAATTGGGGCTTACCTCCCTGAGTAAGGACCAAGGCAGGAGGGAAATTCTTAGTTTTGCTGGTGGCAGTTGGCAGGGGTGGGAAATGTGGCAGTTATCTGTCCACTTCCCTCCTGCTAAGGTCAGATAAGCAGCTGGGGTCACCTTGGTGATACAGAACTTTAGTGTCAGTGACTCCACTTGGGTAGGCTGGCCTTGAACTGAAGGCCTTCCTCCTGCCTCAGCCTCCCGAGTGCTGGGATCACAGGCGTGCGCCAACATGCCTGACTCCACTTTGATTTTGAGCCTGATCTGATTGGGGCCTCATGCTGGAGCTTAGTCCTAAACATGGGCTGTCATATTTTTATGGAACATGTTCCCCCTCCCCGATGCCAGGGTTGGAACCCTGGGCCTGGCACATGCTAGGTAAATGCTCTACCCCTGAGCCACACCCTCAGCACTTTTAACATTTTGAGACAGGGTCTTGCTAAGTGTAGCCCAGGATGACCTCAAACTTGAGTCCTCCTGCCTCAGTCTCCTGAGTAGTTAATGTCTGTTGTAGCCTCCCTAGGTGTGCAGCCAACCTTGGAGGGCATGCAGTGACAGCCCTGTGGGATCAGGACCAGCCTGTGCTGCACATGCTCTGTGCACAGTCGTGTGGACATGGGGTGGATGTGTGCGTGGAGGCACGTTAATCCCCTGGCCTCCCCAGTCCGTCTGTCTCTCCTTTTGAAGCTGACTCGGGAACGCGGCTCTCCGCCCCACTGTCCGAAGGAATACCTGGGAGCAGTGGGACTGTTTTCTTTTTGAGATTGAACCCAGGGCCTTCGTGCTGAGCTGCACCCCAGCTCTTTCCATTTTTCATTTAGAGACAGGGTCTCGGTCCGTTGTCAGATGCCCATGGTGGGCAGGAACCTGGCATCCTCCTGCCTTAGCCTCCCCAGTAGGTGGGATGACAGCAATGCCCTCCACAGCTGGCTGTTTTTGAAATTTCTGGATGAGCATTACAGAGTGTGGGTCCCTCCCAAACCTGGGGACACTGGAGAGCTGGACCCGTGGGCTCTGCCAGGGGGTGGTGCAGGGCGGTACTAGGGAGGGGCCGGCCCGGATGCAGGGTCACTGCCCGCTGCGGCTCTTCCCTCACCCCAGTGAAGCTGAGAGACTTCCAGTCGGCCGTGAACAACTTCGAGAAGGCACTGGAGCGGGCGAAGCTGGTGCACAATCAGGAGGCGCAGGGAGCCATCATCAGTGTGAGGAGTCGGGGCCGGGTGGGGCGGAGCCTACAGCGGGGCGGGGCCTGCGACGGGGCGGGGCCTCATGAGCGGTTTATCCTCTCTACCACCTGTCGGGCGGGCGCAGGATGGGGCCGGTGCCTGGAGAGGTTGGCTCCTGCTGTTGGTGTGGCAGCTATGCACACTTTTATTTAAAATGAACAAGAACATTTTACATAGTTACCTTCATAACTATTATCCTGATATTTCCGATTATCTTCTGTGTGTGTTTTGTTTTGTTTTGGGTACTAGAGATTGAACTCAGGGCCTTTGCACTGGGCTACATCCTTGGCAATCTTTTATTTATTTTTATTTTTTGGTACCGGGGACCGAAATCAGGACCTTGCGCTTGTGAGGCAGGCACGGTGCTACTGAGCTACATCCCCGGCCCCCTGGCACTCTTTAAAAAAAAATTTTGGGGGGGCGTTCTGAGTTGCCCAGCTTGACCTCAAACTCCTGGGCTCAAGAGGTCCTCCTGCTTCAGCCTTCTCCATAGCTGGGATTACCAGTGTGGATAACCTCACCTGGCTTTCCATTTGTCTTTCATTTAATGGTGACTGTGGCCTTATATGTTGTGGGGTTTTTTCTTCTCTCCCCTATTAGAATGTGTCATCCTTTTTTTGTTTTTGGGGGGGGGGGTTGGTACCAGGGATCAAACTCGGTACCTTGCACTTGCAAGGCAGGCGGCAGAACCACTGAGCTAAATCCCTGGCAACTGTGGCCGTATAAACTAGAGTTAGGACTTGCAGTTTGGAGAACCCCACCTCCTTGTCCTGCTCAGTCCTTTGCCGGTTCCAGTCTGTGGCTGAGCTTGTGCTGTTTTCCCAGGCCCTGTGAGTCCCAGGCTAGTCCCCACCGGGCCCCGCGTCCCAAGCTCTGCTCCTGTCCCTGCCACCTCCTTTTGTTAACTTCCCCAGGGCACCTCTGAGCCCTCAGTCTGGGTGCCGGCCACCTCTCTCAGCATCCCCAGCCCCAAACATCCCCGGGGAAGCCACATGGCTCTATTAGCATTGCCTACACCTAGCTGGGAGTGGGAGCACATGCCTGTCATCCCAACACTGGGAGGCTGAGGCAGGAGGATCACAAGTTTGAGGCCAGGCTGGGCAACTTAGTGACTTAGCCAGACCTTATCTCAAAGTAAAAAACTAAAAGGGCTGGGACGCAGCTCAGTGGAAAGGCCCTGGGCTCAGTCCCAGAACTGCAGGTGTCTAGATCGCTCACGAGGCAGCTGCAGCCACATTGGTCATCCTTATTGTTAACTAACAGTCAAAAGCAGCCAGCTGCACACCTATGCTCCTGGCACTCAAGCCCAGCCTGGGCTGCGCACCAGTGTGTGCCACAGCTCACACAAGTGGTCCTGAGTCCTGTCCCTTGGGCACCCTGCAAACAGAGCACGGTGCACGCCTATTATCCCAGCCCACAAGAGGCTGAGGCAGGAGGGTCACTGTAAGCTCAAGGCCAGCCTGGGCTACATGGACTCTGTCTCAAAAAACCAAAGGGGGAAGAGGTTTCCGAGCTGGAGTCATTGCTGAGTCTGGCTGGGTTTGGGGTCCCCAGGAATCCCGGTGTCAGCAGGAAGGTTAGGACAGGGGCACTGGGGAACACAGAGTGACAGCACAGCCTCCTGGGAGGGATGGGGTCACCTTGAAGGGCTGACAGCAGAGACAAGGCGCCTGCTGGCCCTCAGTGACTCCCCATGGGACGGGTCCTCAACCCCTCACCTCCTAGCCTGGCAGCTCCAGGCAGGAAGCCTCCAGGGGCCAAGGCTGGCACCTCGCCAAGGAAGAGGCCATCGGGCGCTCAGGCGAATGACACTCCCGGCTGGCACTGTGATGGTGACGAGGAAGAGGGTGGGACCTGCCCTCGGGACCTGGCAGCACCTCAGGAGGCTGAGGCAAGAGGGTTGCTTGAGCATAGGGCTGCAAAGCAAGCGTGGAGAGCAGAGTGAGACCCTGCCTTAAAAATAAAAGGCCCACAGGCTGCGTCAGGGCCCTGGGAAGCCATTCTGAAGGGGCTGGTCCCTCCACTGTCCCCTCCTTGGCCTTCCGGTGTTCAGGAGGCCGAGAGCAAGCAGCGGCTTCCCCTGCCCACAAGTCCCACCCACTCCCGCCACCTGGCGCCACAGGCACGTAGGGGCCCCATGGCTTGGGTCCACCCCAGCCTGGCCAAACGAAACACTGTGGCCTGGATGGAAACACTCGCCACTGAGTCTCAGGGCCGGGGTCCTCCATGGCAGAAGGGAAGGGGGCCTGTGGGTCACATCTGGGCCTTTGGGACAAAGGGACGGGATCTTGGCGGGAAGGAGGAGGCACAGGTGCCAAACAGGTAAAGAGCGTTCACCCAGCCCCACGAGGTGCACACCTGTCACCCTGGTGCTCTGGGAGCCTGAGGCAGGAGGATCACAAGTTCAGTCCCCAGCACTGAAAAAAAGAAGAGAAAAAGAGCTCACCAGTTCCTCTGCCCGCAGGCCTTGGATGACGCCAACAAGGGCATCATTGAAGAGCTGAAGAAAACCAGCTACAGGGAGACGTTGAGAAATGCAGGTGAGGCCCTGGACCAAGAGGGCAGCACCTGCTGAGCCGCCCTCTGCCACCTCCTCGTCTTCCTTCCTTTTTTCTTGTTTTTTGAGAAAAGGTCTCGCTCTATAGCCCAGGCTGGCCTTGAACTTGCGGCGATCCTCCTGCCTCAGCCTCCAAGGTGCTGGGACCACAGGCGTGCGCCACCTCACTTGGCCTCCTCCTTTTTGTGGTACTAGGGATTGAACCCAGAGCCTTTGCACGGAGGTCCATTCCCCCAGGACCTTGCACTTGCCAGGCAGGTGCAGCGCCACTGAGCTACATCCCCGGCCTCATTCATTTTTTTTTTTAAGGCAGGGTCTCACTAAGTTCCTAGGCTGGGCTTGAACTTGGGACTCATTTAGTTTTTCAAGTTATTCATGAAGTAGCCGCACCCATGTTGTCCCAGCACTTGGGAGGCTGGGGCATCTCAAGTGTGAGGCCAGCCTGGCCAACTTAGCAAGACCCTGACTTGAAAATAAAAAAGAGGAGGGGATGCAGCTCAGTGTGAAGGCCCTGGGCTCAATCCCCAGGACCAAAAGAAAAAGTCATTCATCAAATGTGCACTGAGCACTTACCGTGCCAGGAAGGGTTAGATTCGGGAGATGGAGGCTGCAGTTCCCCCTGGGCTGCCCAGTGGCCCCTCTTGTACGCTTGCCACCTGGGCCTGGGACTGTTTTGGGGGACCTGGAGGCCAGGCTCTGCCAGTCACAGCCAGGCAGGTGGCACCAGCAGCGGCACAGGAGCAGCCACTCCTCTGGGACGGGCCAGCAGCTGTGCCTCTGCCTCCTTTTCTTTCTTTTTTGGAGGGGGGTATCGGGGATCGAACTCGGGACCTTGTGCTTCCCAGGCAGGTGGCGGAAGCACTGAGCTAAATCCCCGGCCCTCTGCCTCCGTTCTCAGGGTCTCAGGGTCACTGCCTCCCACTCTGGGAGGCTGAGGCAGGAGGGTCCCACAGGAAAGGGAAGGAAGGTTGGGCACAGGGTGGGTTCCGGCACCTGGGCGAGGGGAGTGCAGCTGGCCTCGGAGAGGGACTGAGACTGTCCCCGCAGTGGGGCCTGGCCTCCCCTCAGGAACGTGTCCCCTCGCGCGCCCCAGGAGGCACAGTCCCTGCGCCCACCAGCAGGTGGCAGTGTCGTTCACCGCGTCACCTGCAGGGACTGGGACCTCGGCGGCCTGGGGGCCCTTGGGGACCGCGGTTTCCGGGAAGGCCTGAGGCCGGTGCAAGAAGGGGCTGGCGACTGTGGGCCTGACCGGCTGCCGAGGGGTCGTCGGCTGCCGCTCTTCCCCGGCGAGACTTCTTACTCGCGTTTGAGCCGGGTCTCGCTGTGCAGCCGCGGCCCCTCCCCGCCCTGTTCTGCAGAGGACGCCCCCGCGGTGGCCGACGAGGAGCCAGGAGCCGTCAGGCCCGAGCGGAGGCGCTCGTGGGACGCGCCCGAGCGCGTGGTGCGGCAGTGGGACCCGGAGCCGGGCGGGGCGCCATCAGAAGAGGAGCTCCGGGTGGCCCTGCAGGGAGCTGGGCCGGACTGCAGCCGGGGTAGCTCCGCCGCGGAGGAGGCTGTGAGCCCGCGGGCCTCGGGGGAGCCCCGGGGGCAGCGCTCGGGGGGACCAGAGGGGCCAGGCGGGGCCGAGAGCGCGGGGGAGGCGGCTGAGAGCCCCGAGGGCGGCCCGCCGTAGTGGGGTCGTCACTGGGGGTCGAGGGCGACCGTCACCTCGCCCTCGCTATTTCCCCATTAAATACGATCTTCACTTCACAGGCCAGACTTAGCACTTTCTGCTCCTTTTCCCCCTCATACTGGGGATCGAACCCAGGGCCTTCATGCAAGCGCCATCACCAGCCAGGGTCCCGCTAAGAAGCTAAGTCACTAAGGGCAGGCTGGGTTTGAATTTGCGATCCTCCTGCCTCAGCCCCCCTCTGTGCTATGAGGACAGCCGTGACCCATGCCGGGCTTTCCCACACCATTCTGGGGAGAGAAGTGAAGAAGCAGGCTAAGAACTCAAAAAGTTTACGGGCAGGAAAGAGCCGTGGCCCTGCGGATGTGACCTCCACCCCCACCTGGGGGGGAAGGAAGTGGATGCTGGGTCCCCAGGTGCACTGTGTTCCCCAGGGGCCCCCAGGAGGAGCAGCAGGAGGCGCGTGTTGATAGTGCTGGGCCATGCCTCTGCCACTTCCGGTGGTGCCCCGGAAAACAGCCTCTCTATGCTCTGCTTATATTTACTGCGCTGCCTAAAACTCAGCGAGTTCGTTCTGTTTCGTGCTGGGAATGGAACCCAAGGCCACAGGCACAGCATGAAGCGCCCACCACTGAGCTACAGTCCCAGCCCTGAGAGGAAAATAGTTCATGAGCCCGGGTGTGGTGGTCCACACCTGTAATCCCAGTGCTCAGGAAGCTGGGGCAGATCTCTGTGAGTTCGTAGGCCAGCCTGGGCTGTATGGTGAGTTCGCAGCCTAAATTACATAGTGAGAAGCAAGTGGAGTTTTTCTTTTCTTTTATTTTGGTACCGGGGATCGAACTCAGGTCCTTGGGCCTTCGAAACCAACGCTAAATCCCCAGCCCGCAAGTGGAGTTTTTAAGTTATTTTGAGACAGTCTAGCTAAATCACCAAATTGCCCCGGCTGTGCTCCAAATTGCAATCCTCCTGCCTCAGCCTCGTAGAGTGCTGGGACGCCGGGCCTGCACCAGTACAGTCAGCTAAACTACGGAAATGTAAATCAGGCCTGGACTCTCGGGACCCCGCCCACCTGCCACATCCGGTCCCTATTTCAAGAATGAAACATTAACTCCTGGGAAAGAGAATTCCCTCCCGCGTGGTGCCGCACACCCACAGGCGCCCTCCGGGAAGGAGCACAAGCTGGAACCCAGCCTGGGAAATTTGGGATGACCCTGTCTCAAAATTAAGAGTCAGCGTTGGTGGTACAGTGGTGAACATAGCTGTCTTCAGAATTTAAGAGGGGCTCAGGATGTGGCTCAGGGTGAAGGCCCTAGGCTCAAGCCCCAGTACGGCCAAAAACCCGTACAGGCCCATAGGTTCCCCCAACTCCAGGGTCTTCGACCTCCCAGATGAGTTTCGATTTGCCGCCAGAGGCCCCAGCGCCCGGAAGCCCACCCTGGCCTCCCGCGCCCCGCCCCTACCTAGGCCCCTCCTCCGACCTTGCTCTGGCTCCGCCCCACCTCCTGAGTCGCAGAGAGCGGCAGCTCCAGGTCACGCCCCTCCCTTGGCCCCGCCCCCGCCCCGGGCTATACTTACTGCGCGGTCCCCCCCCACGGCGCCACGCCGAGTTCCTCGCGCAGGCCGGCGGCCCAGAGCTCCAGCCCGCGCAGTGGAGGACGGCGCCGGCGCCGACCCAGGATGGTGAGCGCGGGCCTGAGGGAGGGAGCTGCGCGGGCCCTGGCGCAGGCTTCTGCGGGAAGTGGCCGCCCTACGCCGAGAGGAACGAGTTTCCGTGCTCTGGGAGGACGAGGCGGGCAGGCCTCCGGGCACCAGGCTGGTGGCAGTGCAGAGGGAGGGACCCAGCTCGGGTCGCCCCGCCCGCGCGTGCCGGGAGCCGCGCAGGTGGCAGCGCAGTGGGTTGCTGTCGTCACCTGTTGCTTTTAGCGGGCGGGACACCGCAGCCCGAGAGGCCCTGCGGACAGAGGGCGAGCGGGCCAGGTGCTCCGCGCAGCCTGGGGCAGGCACAGACCAGGGCCTTGCCGGGGCGGGAGAGGGTGAAGAGGAGGCGGCCGCGCTGAATGGGGCCCTTTGTCCCCTGCCCTCCTGCCCTGCCCCCCGGCAGCCCTCTGTTGGTCCATTGTCCCCCGTCCCGGACAAGAGAGTATTATCTGCCGCTGCCATTGTTGGGAGAAGGCAGTCTTCGGGGTACCCTCCTCCACCCGACTGCCTCTGCCCCTCAGCCAGGGAAGCTGGGCTCTGCCCGGAGGACGTCACGGGAGGTCCCGAGGACAGAACAGCCGCCCGCCCGCCTGCACAAAGCCCACCGTGCTTCCCTCGGCACGGCGGGCGGGTGACCCTGGGGACCCACAGGCGGACAGGGCCACCACTGCCCTGCCCAGGAGGGGCTGCGACCCGGGGCAGCACTGTTGGGCCCGGGGATTCCCAAGCCGGGCTTGCCGCTAGAGCCAGGCCAGGGCTGGGGCCTGTGACGGAGCAGGGCTGACTTCTTCTCCCCCCTCACAGAGCAGAAGCTTTTCCCGAAAGAGCCACGCGTTCCTGCCCAAGGTCTTCCTCCACAAGATGTCGTCCGCAGGCGCCAGGGACAAGCCCGAGCTGCAGTTCCCGTTCTTCCAGGACGAGGCCACAGTGGCCACGCTGCACGAGTGCAAGACCCTCTTCATCCTGCGCGGGCTTCCAGGCAGCGGCAAGTCCACGCTGGCGCAGGCCCTCGTAGACAAGTACGGCGGCAGCGCAAAGATGGTGTCTGCGGACACCTACAGGATCACGCCCGGCCCGCGGGGGCCCTTCTCCGAGCAGTACCGGCGGCTGGACGAGGACCTGGCCACCTACTGCCGCCGAGACGTGCGTGTGCTGGTGCTGGATGACACCAACCACGAGGCCGAGCGGCTGCAGCAGCTCTTTGACCTGGCCGATCAGTACCAGTACCAGGTGCTGCTGGTGCAGCCCCAGACGGTGTGGCGGCTGGACTGTACTCAGCTCGCGGAGAAAAACCAGTGGCAGCTGTCGGCCGACGACCTGAGAAAGCTCAAGCCCGGCCTGGAGAAAGACTTCCTGCCGCTCTACTTCGGCTGGTTCCTGACCAAGAAGAGCTCCGAGGCCCTCCGCAAGGCTGGCCAGGTCTTCCTGGAGGAGCTGGGGAGCCACAAGGCCTTCAGGAAGGAGCTGCGGCACTGTAGGTGCCTGCGTGGGGACGGGAGGGTGCCAGAGTGGGTGACTGGCGGAGGCAGAGGCGGCCTTGGGCCCTGAGCCAGGGCGGAGCAGGGCAGGAGCCACCTGCAGCAGCTCCTCCCAGCTGGATGCAGACCGCAGTCCCCGTGTCATGGGTGGCAGGGCACCTCACAACAGGGAAGGCCAGCGCGCTGCACAGCCACGGAGGGAACGCCTGGCCCCGTGTTACCAAGCTCAGTTTTAGCAGCAGAATCACATTCCCAAACACAACACTGCCTGGGGTCCTGGCCGGGCTGTGGAGTCTCCCTGGGGCGGCTCCCAGGCCATGCGTGCCCCGTGGTGTGGCACGGTCCACAGAACTGACTGCCTCACACACCTAGTTGGAAACCCCCTGGCTTTCCCGATGGCGGGGAGCCAGCCTGAGTGCTGGCATGTGGCACCCGGCGCCAGCACCCTGGCCGTCCCGTTAGGTGCTGGGTGGGCTGACACACCTGCACCCTCTTTGAAGTGGCTCGTGTGCACCTATGCAAGTCCTCAGGCAGCTTCTCCTGGGCTCCTAAAGCTCCAGCTCTGGAGACACAGCCAGCTGTTTCCTGAGGGGGAACCTGGCGCCACTGCCCTGGCAGGACTGGCACCTGGGGCTGCCGGTACCCTAGGAGCTGGGGTGCTTTCCCACCGGGAAGGCAAGGGACGGGGGAAGCTCATGCCTGACGACCATCATGAGGCTGAGCCGGCCACGCCACCACCCACTGTCCCAGGCGCCTGCGTGTGCCCGGCCTTCCCCAGACAGACCTGCCAACTTCTGGCCCCAGCGAGTGCTGCAGTCTGAGGCAGTTTGTCCCATTGTCATATGGACTAAGAGTGAGCCGCTTGCCTGAGACCAAAGGGCTGGTGAGTGGCAGATGACACTGTGGTCTTTATGGTGCTGCTGACTGCACCCCGTTTCCCGCACCCCAGCTCTTGTGAGTTGCTGTCCCCCTTTCCCTTCTGCGGCCGACACTGGGTCTCAGTCCCCTGCCTGTGCCGCCCACCCCGGTTCCAGGCGCCCTCCAGCCTTGCGAAGCGATAGATGTAGAGAGCTGGGGGCGGGGGTAGGGTTTGGGGTTTCTGTGGTGCTGGGGATCAAGCCCAGGGCCTCGGGCATGCTAGGCAGTGCTCCTCACCAAGCCACACCCCCGCCTGCAACACCCCAGGGTCCTGGACTCGCACCGAGTCTGCCCCCAGCTCAGCCTGTGCGCAGGGGGCTGAGTCGCAGGCTGCGGGGATGGGGATCCCTGCCGACTCATCTTCTCCCGCTGCCCCGTCTCTCCCGCAGTCCTCTCGGGGGATGAGCCCCGGGAGAAGATTGACCTGCTCACCTACTTTGGGAGGAGACCTCCAGGTGTGCTGCACTGCACGACCAAGTTCTGCAACTACGGGAAGGCGCCGGGCACTGAGGAGTACGCACAGCAGGACGTGAGTGCTCCCGGGCCGCTGCCCCTGCCCCTGCCCCAGCTCCGAGCCAGGGAGAGAGGCTGTCCTGCTCGGGCCTCTCGGGGCCACACTGTCCCCGTCCCATGGTGCAGGTGGCCTGGGATGGTGACTGCTGGGGAGTGCAGACCCCGACCCCCCACACACGGTACCCTCAGCCCCTGCTGGACACCCCGGACCCAGGCCTCTCCGCCCCCTGCTCTGCCTGGGTCTCCTCCAGGCCTGCTGTGCTGGGTCCCCGCGCCCCAGCATAGCTAGGTGATGGCGCAGGTGACAGCTGCCATCCCCATGAAGTGCCCGTCGCAGGCCTGGGAGCAAATCTCAGCAGGAGTCGCAGCGGGCACTAGACACTCGGGTGTTGCTGGGCAGTGGCAGCGTCACCCCCACAGCCCCGTGTGACCTGGGAGGGCTGTCACCCCGTGTGGGCTTTCCCTGCGACTGCCCAGCAGCGTTGGTGCCCCTGTCCACAGGTGGTGAAGAAGTCCTACGGCAAGGCCTTCACACTGACCATCTCCGCCCTCTTCGTGACGCCCGAGACGGTGGGTGCCCGCGTGGAGCTGGGCGCGCAGGAGCTGCAGCTGTGGCCAGCTGACGTGGACAAGCTGTCCGTCTCTGACAACCTACCCCGCGGTAGCCGTGCCCACGTCACCCTGGGCTGTGCGGCCAACGTGGAGCTGATGCAGACAGGGCTCGACCTGCTGGAGATCGTGCAGCAGGAGAGGGGAGGCAGCCGGGGCGAGGAGGTGGGCGAGCTGTCCCGCGGCAAGCTCCTCTCCCTGGGCCGTGGGCGCTGGGTGCTGAGCCTGGCCAAGAAGGTGGAGTCCAAAGCCGTCTTCACGGGCTACTACGGGAAGGGCGAGGCGGTGCCCACACACGGCAGCCGGAAGGGGGGCGCCCTGCAGGCCTGCGCACTGCTCTGAGGGCCCCACACCCCGGGTGGGGGAAGGCCACCCCACTGTACCTGGTGTTTCCGGATTCTTTTTTTTTTACTTAGTTAACCTACTTGCAACTTTTTAGAAACTGCAAAGTAACTGCCCGGCCCTTGCCACTGCCCTCTTCCCCTCTAACACTGGAGCACTCAACATGCTCAGGCCCAGAGCACAGGCACCCGACCCCAGAGACTGCACGCCCTGCTGCCGCCACGCACAGCCAGGGCCTGGCCAGGGGTCCTGGGATTTGAACCCATTTGGCCCCTGCAGGGAACAGAAGGGGCTCCTCTCCTGCCTCAGGTCTGCGGCCCATCCCTTCCCTTGTACCCCTTGTACTGTAACTGGTAGCAGTTTCTGATCGAAGGAACAGCAGAACCGGAAGCAGCTGCCCGGGTCTCAGCCCAGAAAGGGGACCAGGAGGATGGGCCCCATCCTGGCTGTGCCTGAGTCGCCCTCCAGGTGTCCTCTCCAGGGGCTGGCGGCACTGGGCCAGCAGGGGAGGGGAACCCTGGCTGGCAAGGGTGCCGCCACCTTGCCCTGCTGGCTCTGAGCCCAGGCGCGGGCCGTGCTCCCAGGCGCCCCACCCTGCTCAGTAACAGGCCTTGCTAATTGGCTGTCACTCCATGACGTGTCGGGGTGTGAGTCGCTGTCCTGTCCTGCCTGCCTTGGCGACTTGTAGACTGATAACGAAATAAATTATGTTAATCCAGCTGCGTGTGGTCTCGGTGTCCCGGCCAGGGTGGGTGCGTGGGGTCGGCTTTGTCCGGCTTACAGCTGGGGCCATGAGTCCTGTGCCCTGGGCTGGGCCAGGCGGGCACTGGTGCTGAACAGAACCGGCTTCCACGGGCAGGAGGCAGCCTCAGGCTATGCACAGGGCACGGCCTCTTGCCCCCCACGGTGTCCCCAGCACAAGCCCCCAAGTCTCGGGGTTCAACACGGGGACAGCACTCAGAAGTCTCCTGGGGGCCAACAGGCCCTGAGCACCTCTCAGCTCCACAGCCACGGCCAAGGCGGGAGAGGGAAGCAAAGGAGCTGAGGAGCAGACAGCGCGTCAGCTCCTGGCCATCTGCGGGTCCGCCCTGGCAGATGCACGGCAGCCCGGGCCTCTCGTGACTGCGGACTCAGGTGCCGTCTTCTCCCTGCTCAGTAAGCCCAGCGTGGCCCTGTCTGCCCCAGCCGCCTCCTCACGCGCTGGAGCCTGTGGGGAGAGCAGGATGGGCTGTGGGGCCGCCGCCAGGCCCTCTGCAGCACTGCGGGATCTGTTCTCGGTGCTCCCGCACGCCGTGCCAGCCCACCCGGCCTCGCCAGGCCCAGCTCTGCCAGGCTGGGGTGGGCATCAAGCAGCTGCCAGAGCCAAGGGCCAGAAACAGTCACAAGGTTTTATTTTCTCCATTGTTTTCTTTTTTAATAAAGTTAAACAGTAAAACAAAGATCCACAAGCTGCCTCCCCGTCTGTGGCTTGGCTCCCTCCTGCCCCGCTCACACCAGTGACAGCAACAGCGACAGTGACAGCACGGCTGGCTGAAGGGTGGAGCTGCGGGTGCAGGGCCAGGCTGGGGAGGTGGCCGTCCACGCTCCAGGTTGAGCCGGGTGAGTCTGTGCGTGCGGGGCTGGAGGGGCGGCCTTCATTAGCCAAACTGGAAGAAGAAATTCCCTGGCCCAGACGCTGGAAGGCAAAGGGGCTGGTTAGCGTGCTGGGTTCCGAGGTCGCTGCCCCGGGCTGAGTCTGCAGGCTGCTTGGACCCAGATGCGGAAGCCCATGGGCCACGTGTGCGCCAGGCAATCGCTCACCACTGAGCTACAGAGCCCAAGACACCTCACACAAGAGCACCGAGCACCATCACCTCTTCAGGGCCGGCTGAAGTCCCTCCCTCCTCTGCCCTCTGCAACACAGGACGGAGCCCTGTGGATGGGACCCGCTGTCCCCCTCTGGCCCCCAGAGCTGCCCAGACCCAGCAGGCGCACCTACCTTCGAAGCTGAAGCCCCCAGGCCCTCCGAAGAAAGCCTTGAAGATATTGTTGGCGTCAAAGTCTGGCCAGCAGCGTGGGAGGGAGGGAGGACAGGTTAGAAGGCCTGAAGCTTCCACCAGCATCCGCCCCCTGCCAGCTGGCTCCTCCCCTTCTGGGGGACAGGGAACACAGCTTTCCCTGCTTCCCCAACCCGCGCGGCGTGTGCGCTGTCCCTTGTGATGCCGATTCTGCCACCTGCCCCTTCAGTGCCCCCATCCACCTAGGAACAAGACCCGTCTGTCTGCATCTGTCCCCTAGAACCGCCCTCTAGACCTCGCTAGGGACAAGGCCAGGCTCGCCTGCTATCTCTCCGGCACCAGACAGCAGCCCACACACCCTGGCAGGACACCCTGCTTCCCTCGCTGTGCAGACCCTCTGCTTCTGAGGTCCCACCCGGCCCAGCCCCAGCCCCATGTGGCCTGGAAGGGGCTGCCTCCTGGCCCTGCCAGGCCTCTCCCGGGTGCCCCTGCAGCAGGGGGCCACATCAGGCCCAGGGACGGAGCCTGCACGCCCTGGACTGGCGCTGTGGCGCTGAGGGGACGGGTCCCACCACCCACCTCCTCAGAGCCCCGCGGCCAGCCCCACACCCACACCGCCAGCTCAGCTCAGCCTGGCCCCGACGCACCAGCCATGCCCACGCCATCCTCGTCCAGGTCCTGCCCGCTGTCGTAGCGTGTCTTCTTCCTGGGGTCCGAGAGGATGGTGAAGGCCTCGCCCACCTCCTTGAACTTCTTCTCCTCCTCCTTCTGCACCGCGGCACTGGCCCCACTGTGCCGGTCTGCAGGGAGGAAGGGAGTGCTCAGGCCAGCCCGGTGGGTGGGTGGGTGTCACAGGCCCCGGCCACCCGCCCCGCCCACCTGGGTGGTGCATCAGGGCACGCTTCCGGTAGGCCCTCTTGATCTCGTCCTCGGAGGCGTTCCTGTCCACCCCCAGGATCTTGTAGTAGTCTTTCCGCTTACTCCTCTTCAGTTCCAGCTGTGCGTTTTTCAGGAGCTGTTTGTGTTCTGGGGGGACACGTACACCAGAGGACACGGCTGACCGGCCCTGCTGCCCAGAACCCCAGAGCCGCTGCGCTCTCCCCGGAGGTGAGAAGCTGCCCCAGAAGGGACGAGGGGCAGAAGGCAGGTGGCTGCTGGCCCCTGAGCCCCGGGCGAAGGCCCCGCTGTACCTTTGGTCTTCTCGGTCTGATAGACCTTCTCGTAGTCGCGCACCGCCTCCTCATACTGCTCCATGTCCATGTAACTGTAAGGAACACAGGGGCGGCGCTCAGGCCCGGGATGCGGCCCAGCAGGGCCCAGGCTGGGAGGGCGCTGTGGGAGGCGGCAGCTCCTCCAAGGGAAGTGACCTGGCAGCAAAGGGACAGCAGAGCGCAAAGGGGCCTCGGGAGTGCCATGTGGGGTGAAGCTGCCTGGCCGGGCGGGATAACTGGTACCGAGGGCTGAGTCTCAGCAGCAGGGCGGAGGGCAGTAGGGCCAGGAGCCGCCAGAAGGGCAGCGTGAGGTGGCAGCTGCTGGCAGCCCTCATCAGGACCCCTCCACGTGAACTGGTGACAAGATGAGCGGGCACGAGGGGACACAGACAGCGTGCCGGGAAAGGGTCCCAGGCCAAGGTGGCAGGCGGCCCGGGGCCCAGTGGCCCCCACAGACACAAGGGGCGCCTCCCGAGGCCTGATAAGACTGCCTGCACCAAGGAGCTGATCTAGCTGCCCGCCAGCGGACACCAGCAGCCGGGCCACTGAGGCCACGGGGAGGCGGTGCTGCTGGCCTCAGCATCTTCAGTCGCGCTCTTTCCAGGCCCGGAAGGACGTACAAGCCATACTGCACTAATTCCATGTGTCTTAAAATTCAAGAATATCTTCACCTTTTTTTTCCTTTAGGTAGTACTGGAGATTGAACCCAGGGCCTCTGCAGTGAGCCACATCTCCAGGCCTCTTTTTCACTTTATTCTTGTTTTTTTTTTTTTTTTTTTTGTACCAGGGATCGAACTCGGGTCCTTGCGCTTGCAAGGCAAGCGATGGAACCACTGAGCTAAATCCCCAGCCCTCTTTTTCACTTTAATACAAAGTCTCGCTCAGTTTCCAGGTTGCCTGGTCAGGATGTGAGCTTGCCATCCCCCTGCCTGAGCTTCCCAGATTGCTGAGAATACAGATATGTGCCACCACACCCAACATAGATTTAAAAATTTTTACATGTTGAAGAAAAGTAGCAGAGATACATGGGGCTTCAGGGAGCCAGGGAGAACTTCACTCATAACGGGAGATGTGCCCACACCTACCCTGCCCACCGCCAGGGTTGGGGCCGGGGCTCAGTCAGGCAGGAGCCCCAGGGGCCCCAATGTGCCCTGTCAAGGCCAACTGCCGGAAGGGTGCTGCCCCCACTCCACCAGCCAGCACCAGGTCGCCCAGGTGGTCACAAGCAGAGCCCTCCAGGACTCTGGCCAGCAGGGGTAAGGAGTGTGCTGACTTCTGCCCACTGTGATGCTCTAGATCTGTGTCCCCAACGCGCATGCACTCATGGTGGGGCTGGGCGGGTACGACTCGAGTGCCAGGCAATTCTCATCGCCACTCTGGTCCTGGAGGGTTCACAGCAGGGCGTGATGCTGAGGGGCGAGGCCTGGTTTCCTCCCTCTTCCTGCCCGCCATGCCCCGAGCTGCTTCTTCTCTGCCAGGCTGCCCTGCCTTGCAGCAGCTGGCTATGGACCGAAACTGCTCCACAAACTGCATCAAAATAAACCTCTCCTCTTCACCTTGTGGGTGTTGGGCATTTGTCCCAGCAACAAGAAAGCAACGGAGACGTTTTGTGTACACAGAGAAGAACTGGCCTCCGCCCCAGATCTTCCCACCCAATCAAGAACCCACTGCTGCCTGCCAAACGAGGATGCTGACACGGGCAATGCAGCGTCCTTTCCTTTCTGCCACCTCAACGATGTTGCAGCTGACCCCCACCCAGCAGCACTTGGTGCCTGTCACAGTCTATCTTTGGCTGGCTCAAAGGACACATTCTGTCTCCCTCAGCTGCTCCTCAGGTCCCCAGTGGTGAGCAGACAAGCCGCTTGAAGGCCACCTCAAAGACTGTGGGGCTCCCATGTCCTATGGACCACCCAGCCCTCATCAAATCCTTCCTAAAGCCGCGCACCACAGGGCACTGGTGTTCCTATCTAGTGTGACAATCTGGGACCTGACGCAACGGGCAGCAGTCTACAGAACTCGAACCCTGCTCCAAGGGCAGCTGATGGTTTACAAGGCGAGCAGTGAGTGTGTGCAGGAAGATGGCATGCAAACCTGCCTGTCTGGGGCTGATGGCAGGAAGCCCTCTGCCTGGGAACTGGTCTGAATACGAGACGGCTGCTGCCCAGGTCTGCCCTCACCCTGGGTACTGATCCTGTCTGAGAGAACACCCCGGCCACGGGTCAAACTGGGCCCTAGGAGCAGGTGGGACGTGGGCTCCTGGGCCACCATGTCAGACAGCACAGCTGCCTGTCCTGTCCTGCACCTTGAAGGAGTTCCTGGCTGCTGCGCATGGACCCAGCCAGAAATGCAGGCCTCAGCTGTCTCTGAGAGGAACTCTGTTCCTCCTCTTCCAGCACCGGACCTCTGGCCAAGAACATCTACTGAGCGCCCACGTGCTGAGCACCGTGCCAAGAGAGAGCGAGGTGGATCGCAAGATGCGGTCTCCGGAGGACATGGAGGACGCTGGGGAG